TCTTAACTTCTGGAAATAAAAATATTCTTGAACCATTCTTTCAATGTTTGAGTAAAACACTTTCTTTCAAAAAGTATTAGAAATTGTGCCTGAAACTGGGTGGAACTTTGTGGCACAGTTCTAAACTTTGTGAATCCTTCCTAAAGAACAACATCTGCATTGTGTCTCTAGGTAAGTACAGATCTGAGTGAACAAAAATCACCTGTGGCGTTCCCCAAGGCTCCATACTGGGGCCACTTCTGTTCAATATCTACATACTGCTACCAGCTCAGGTTATGGAAAACAATAAAATATGGCACCAAAACTATGCAGACGACTCACATCTTTACATAACCAAGTTACCAGAGGACTATAATCTCATACAAGAGTTCAGTAGTTGCACAGAATAAATCAACAGCTGGATGTGTCAGAATCCGTTTAAGTTGAACAAAGACAAAACTGAAGAAATTGTTTTTGGAGCCAGAAACGTTACCATGGCACGTTTTTTTTTTACTCTGTACTCAGTTTTTGTTCCAAATAAGACTAAAAAAGTACACTTCAGAATCGAAACCCTTCAGTCTTTCACGTTTCAACCACAACCAACCAGTTCAGACTGCATTCAGACCCAAACAGGAATCCCATTGATAGAAGCCTTTTGTCTGCAATATCTGAAACACCAAACAAACACATCAGAGAGGCCGAGAGGTGAGGAGAGCAGGAGGAAGATGAGGAGGAAGAGCAGCTGGCCTGGAGTTCAGAGGCAGGAGGGCCTCTTGTTGGACGTTCCTGTTTACTGGGAGGTTTCTGGGTCGTTGATCTGAGACGATTCGACCTCAAACAGAGAACAGAAGGACGGCAGGAAGACCAGCTCTCTGATTACAGTCGGCCTTCTTCATCTTCTTTCTTTTCATCTTGCTTCTTCGCTGATGGCAAGTAGATTCAAGGGTGAGCGCAAAAGTCTGGCACGTTTTACTATTTAAACCAGACAGAACCTGACGGCAGGAGAGACACCGCACAAAGCTTGTGTCTAACTGGAAAACATATTAGATCTTGTTCTTAGAACCGGATATTTTCCTTTGGAGCTGAATGAGACCAAAATAGAACTCAAAGTAGAGCAGCTGTTGGACTTAAAAGTCTCCTTGTTGTACAAGCAGGTTCTGATTTTGCTTGTTTTTGTGTATGAGCATGTATTGGTGATGCTACACATCCCTTAAATAGGGTTTACACTATTTCACTCATCTCAAATGCAGCATCGCACTAAAATAAGGTATAAAAAGAAGCAACCAAGTAAACATGGATGAAAGCAGCAGCCATGTTTTCATGTAATTCTCTAGTCCATCCATCCATCCAGTATCTATACACCACTTAATCCTAACTAGGGTCTCTGGGGGGCTGGAGTCTATCCCAGCTGACTCAGGGTGAAGGCAGGGGACACCCTGGACAGGTCACCAGTCTATCACAGGGCTACACTTAGAGACAGACAACCAAGCACACTCACATTCACACCTACGGACAATTTAGAATCACCAATTAACCTCAACATGGTTTTGGGAGGAAGCCGGAGAGCCAGAGAGAACCCACGCTGCACGGGGAGAACATGCAAACTTCATGCAGAAAGATCCCTGTGTCTTGCTGCGAGACAACAGTGCTACCCACTAAGCCACCTTGCAGCCCCATTCTCCAGTGAATTTATGGCAAACTTTCAAAGTGATGCAAAAACTGTGGAAAAATTACTCTGGATTAAAGTGAATAAACCAATGACATGACCATGATTTGCCAAACAAACATTGCGCTGTATTAAAAGAGACTTGAAATCAGTGATTGAGATCATAAATTCAGCAGGAAAATGTTTACAGAGGTAACAAATCAAATGAGAAATCAGTTCATGTTCTATACTATCACACAACCAGGAGTCGCCCCCTGCTGGCTGTTCGAAACAATGCGGGTTTGTCCATCCTTTATACACAGTCAGTGGGACCTGGGTTTTAGCTTTATAGTTCTGTTTTTTGTTTTACTATGTCACTTATCTCCATGTGCATAAAAAGAAGCTACCAAGTTAACGTGGACGTAAACAGCAGCAGTGTTTTTATAGAACTGAAAGTGGACTCAAAACAAACTTTTAAGGTTGATCCAAAAATGGGGGGAGTACAAATTGTGCTGGCTTAGCGCAAATAAACTTGACGATGGGACCATAATTTACTAAATAAACACCAAGATGCATTGAAGGAGACCAGAAACTGTTGACTGAGGCAGCAAATCGAGTGAGAAATTGGGTAATTTTCTTATAGACTTCTACAGAATTGCACAACCAGAGGAGTTGCCCCCTGTTGGCTGTTAGAAACAATGCAGTTTTAACTCACTTTTCACCCCCTGAGACTTTGTCCATCTTTTATATACAGTCAATGGGAGCAACACAATATTAGGCAGGTGGTTTTAGCTTTATAGTTTTGTTTTTTTGTTTTGAAAATACCAATGAAATTGGTCAAATTTCAGGACACTGAAGCTTTTCATTTAAAAAATCTGTTTATACTATTTCACTTCTCTCTAAATGATGCTGGTTTGGATCAAATAAACTTGATGAGGTCAATAATTTATTAAATAAACACCGAGCTGCATTAAAGGAGACCACTGTTGAATCGCACAACCAGAAGAGTCGCCCCCCAGTGGCTGTTAGGGACAATGCAGGTTCAAAGGTTTTGTCCATCTTTTATATACAAGACAGGTGGTTTTAACTTACTAACTTTTTTTTTTATATTTTGGAATTATTAATGAAATTGGTCAAATTTTAGGACGTCGAAGCTTTTAATTTAAAAAAAAAATATCCATGGGCTAGCTGTTGTTAACATGTGCTCATCTCATATAGGCCTGCAGATGCAAATTTGCGTGAACCGGTTCAGCCAGAGTTTTCTGATGTTACCAGTCCGTCCTTTATATTGCATGCAAATAAATGTGGACGCTTGTGAAGCTCTGGAGCTACTCACAGTTCATTCAGCGGTTATAAAATCTGATCTTTCAGCTACCTCAAAGACACGTGCATGCTCGGAACTGCACACATTGTACAGTTCAAAGCTGGAGGGGTCTCCAGTCAGTCTGCACACACTCTCACAATCAGGGGAAGCCCAGTAGAGACTGCAGACCCAGGCCCATCTCCCCCGCGGCCAAGCACAATAAACACCCCCAGAGGTCGGCTTCAATCGCCTTCCCTGTGGGTCGGATCAGGTGGAGGCCCGGAGCACACCCACCCGTGGTAACAGCTCAGAAAAGAGGGTAAACAACCCACCCTGAGGACCCCAGGCGTCCTGGGCGGGGGCCACCAAACATCCCCTCGGTGTGTCAGGGGGCTTCAAAGGTATTGGTGGGGGCCCGAGACGGATCGAGGCGGTCGGAGGCGGTTTTTTATTTTTGTTCCTGACCTGGTTCAGGCTCAATTTTGAGTAAATCGGAGGTGGGATGTGGGATTTGGTCGCGGAATATTTGTCTGGATTCTTCGATTCATAAGATGAAATCCTTACTTTGTAGAACTGACTCCTTTACAGAATACAAACTGTTCCCGATGTGCAAACAGAGACAGACGGTCTGCTGATGTTTGGGACGAACCTAAATTAAGAACACATCGAGCCTGACGTGAAGCAGAACCGATCCATTAGTCAAAGCTGTGCAGGTACATCAGTGTTATCAGCTAACAGGCGGCTTCACTTCACGAGTTGAAGGAAGTAATGCATCACAGCAGCTGGATATTCCTCCGCTTTTGAGGTTCTTCAATTGAGTATTTCCATTTAATGCTACTTCACACTTCCACTCATCTAATCTGACAGCTTCGGTACATTTTTTTTTGCAATGGATAACGCAACAAGCCTGTAAAATACAATTCATTATTAAATGTTCAATCAGTAGTTTCCAACCTTTCCTTGCTTTTAACAATAATCCATGTGTAGTCAGGTTCACATTCACATCTAAACTTTCACGTTAGCAAAAAACTGGGAACAGATTTGTGTATTTTCTTCTTTCTCTCCCACTAATCGTGTTACAAACCTTCAGATTTATCTGCTGCCACTGAATATAAAACTGGAAATAAAGTGATTAAAACTAGCTAATAATATTAAAATATAATCTATTAGTCAAAGGAGCCACACCTGCAGCTTTACTTTAATACTTCAACCACACGTTGCTGCTAATACTTAGGTACTTATACTTAAGTAGGATTTGGGACTTTTTCGAAACTTTTAAGCATCTAAATGCTTCTTTAACCTCTGGGCACTTGTACGTGCATTGACTGAATAAATAACTACAGCAAAGCATCATATTTTCTAAGCTTGTCATGTACGCTGCATGAAAAAAAACTGAATTTGAGAAGTAATAATAGTGGTCAAAGAACTGCAGAGAAGCAGAAGTATGAAGTGGCATGAAAACAAAAGACACAAGAGAAGTACAAGTACCTCAGATTTGTGCTTTAGTGCAGCTTTGCAGATGTCAAACCATCATTTGAAACAATAAAACTTGTTCAAACTTTGGCAGGTTGCTTTGTGTTTAGGTACTTTTACTCATGCAGGACTTTTAGTAGGAATTGCGTGTTTTTACATTTTGCTCTACTGGTAATTTTGACCAAAGTAAAGGATCTAAATACTTGTTCCATCACTGAACACTTACATGCAAGAAACTGCAAATAAATAAAACTGGTGGGGAGTTTGATTCCTGATGAAGCATCATGTTCTCTAAGATTCTCACATGACTTGAACACAAAAATCTTAATTTGCAAAGTAACAATGGCACTAAAACAAACTGTAGAGGAGCAGAAATATAAAGTGGTGTGAAAACAAAAAACTCACAAGAAGCACAAGTACCTCAGATTGGTACGTTAGTGCAGTTTGACCCATTTAAAACCACATAATTCATGTAAAAATAATCAAACTTGCTCTGATTTTGGCAGATTTAAGTAACACTCATTCACTCTTATAGAGAAAACATGTTTTCAAATGAAACACGTCGCTCATAAGATCATTAAAAACACAGAAACACAGGAATCCTCTTTACTTCATGTTACTTTATTGATATACATGTCAGTTTCTTTAAAATCATATTTACATCGGAGGTGGAGGGTCTCTGGGGCGACACCCTTCCTGAACACACAGCTGGATGGTACATAAGGAGCCATCCAGGTGGAGCGAGGCATGCTGGGAGGGGAGAGGGGCCTCATGGGGCCCCGCGGGGCAGGAATGTGGGCGGCACACTGGACAAATAAACAGCTCAAATATGCACCGCATACAGCATATAGGACACAACGTACACCTGCTAAAACATCCCACGGAGCTACAGAAGGCCAGAGAAGACGCACAAACAGTAAAACATGTGAACAAAGTACAGCGTCGTGTGATCAGAAAGGCAGACAGTGATACAGTTATGACAAGATGAAGATGTCAAACTCCTTGAGATGAAACTGTGACGCAGGAAACATCACGCGCCTTCATTTATTTATTTTTTTGCCATTTATGGAGGAAGTAAAGTGATCTCTAAAAGGCAGTTCAGACAATCATTTTCAGCTGATTTAACATTTGCATTGCGATATGTTGACAATAATGGCATCAAAATGAAAAAAAAAAAAAGGCATAAAAAAGTAACTTGCCATGAAAAATGAAGGCAGACGATGGTGCACATTTCAAATACATCAATAAAATACAGCTGTACAAGATGAAGGCAGTACCAGATCCCTTGTCTCCACGTTGGTTTAACACGTAGAAGAAGAAGAAAAAAAAAAGCAACACAACCTCATCAACTTTTCTAAGATCCTCCTCCCTCAGCGTTAATGTGAGCAGCCTGAAGCCTTCGCGACAAGTTCACAAAGCGTCGCGTCTTTTCGGTACGTTCTGGTTCTTTCAGAGCAGCTTCGGCCTCAGCTGGAGAACCGGCAGAGGTTCTGCAGCGGGAGGCCTCGTGTGAGCGTCGGAGGCCCAGCTTCATTGTCGCCGAAGAATCACGAAGACAACCGTGACTCAACCGCGAGACGAAAAAGGAGGGAACTTCGGCAGAGTCGATGCAGCGTTCTGCCTCCCTCTCAGAAACAGGTTTCCTCATGCGTCTCGTATCTTTTTATCTGGCCTCGGCTCTACCTCAGACCTCTCTTTATCTTCCTGCAGATTCACGCAGAGTTTCACAACGAGAGCCACAGCTGGAGAACCTCCAGACTTCTCTGGATGATTCAACGCTGCACACGTTCCCTCCCAATTACAAAATCTTCCATTTAGTAAAAACCACAGAGCGTCTAATTTACTGCAGATGTTAGGGAAGAAAAAGGATTTTAAAGCACTGGATGAAGAAGTTAAAATAAATGAGGCTGCTGTGGTCGGTTGGTCCCACTGCGTCGCTTTGAGAAGTAGCACCTTTTTGTGCGTTTTGTTAAAATAAAAACATGTAGTTTAGAGATTCTGCGTTACAACAGGTGTCAGTTTAAACCCTTCCCAAATCCCCAAATAGTAAAATCAGACGGTGTTAATTTGATTGATCGTCTGTTGTGAATAAAAAACAAACACGAGGTGACAGAAGGTCAACTGAAGCAGACGGCTGAGTGAAGACGGCAGCTCTCCAACAACCACAGCCTGATTTATTGTGTTGAGTTCAGCCGAGGCAGCGTTTACTGAGCTCCTTCGCTACGTTCACTGTGCTGCTCACACTGCAGGAGTTTCCTCACAGATTAAGAAATTAGGTTGAGGAGAAGCTTCAGAGATCAGAAAAATAACGGCGTGTCACATGATGCGGGATATTATGAGGATGACTGCACCAGAGGGACGAATCAGGAAGCAGAGCGTCGCCTCGCGTCATCGCAAAGATTCAAGACTTTGGTGCAACAACTTAGCGTAACCGTAATAATTAAGAAGCAGCTAAAAGCTAAAACAAAAGCAGAAGGCTAACCGAGTCTGGAGGAGAAAACTGTTGGAGGTCGACACAGTTCATCTACAGAGCGAGAACTGAAAACATGAAGGCTAATTATCTGTATGCTCGCTAACGTTAGCCTCGTGTTTAGCTTGTTGGGTGGCGGCGTCATAATCACACAAGCATCACTTTGACCAACATTTAATTCAGTCAGAAACAAGCCTGAACTACAGCATATAATATATAAACTGTACTTCAAGTTTCATCCCAGAAACCTTCTCTCTGCTGTCAACCTGAATCACGTCTATAAGGTGTCAGTAATTCTGAGTTTAGTGTTTATTTACAGGTTTATTTTTGCTGAATTTTTAAATGAGACATGCAGAATAGATAAGATGAGTAGTTCAAGGACTGTCAGAAAGCTGGAGATCCATCAATTCTTTCTGTTTTCACACTTTCTGGCTCTGATAAACCCTATAATTTTAACTCGTTGGCAGGTTTTAGAGTTCAGAAGGTTAAAGCTGCACCGATCAGCTGCACGACTTCTCCTGATTCAATGGAAGAAGAGATTCCCTCCAACCTTAAAGCTTTGGTTTAAAGATGTTTGACATTATTCGGCATTCGACAAAATTCAGTATACAAGAGGTTGTGCTAAAATGAAGCTATACAGGAAGAAACGGGACATCGCTGATATTTAATTTTCTGGCAATTTACCTCATATTTGCACTAATTCTGCCACTAAAATTCTTTTTTTTTTACACGTATCTATAGCTGTAAACAGGAGTTTAACACACACATTGATGTATGTGATGTGGAGATGTTAACTTCCTCTCATCGGGGCGACCCTGATGAGTCCGTGAGCAGCTCAGGAGGTTTAATACTGGATCTGTAAATTCCACACATTGCTGTTTAGATTGAGATCTCAGACCAGATTTTAAGTGCGAACAAAGTGGAGCACTGAGTGATACTGGTACGATTAAAAACAGTGATACAGTCGTGAGAAGATGGAAAAACATTAAACTCCTTGAGATGCAACTGTGATGCAGAAAACATTGCATTTCTTAATTTTTTTGCCATTAATGGAGGAAGTAAAGTGATCTCTGAAGGCAGCTCAGGCACTCATTTTGTGAAAGTGGATAAACGGTCCAGAAACTCCTGCAGTCGGAGCCCCAGCGGTGTTCAGGAAAAGACCTCGTCCTTCGTTCGCAGAGATAAAGGAGGCGATAAAATACCAAACGTCAGCTGAGCCTTGACTGCTGCCGTGTGCTTAAACCACAGCCTGACGGAGGAGCCCAGACACTTCTCATGCTCTGGGAGACGAAACGCTGCCAGCGGAGATCACTTAAGGCACTGTGGCTATTTCAGGCTGCTGTGAAGAGAACTGCTCGTTTCAATCAGAACACACGGATGTGCTTCAGTAACCGCTGCATATTAGTAACATGGGCTCCGGGCGGGAGAACCGAGGCAGAGTTTAAAAACTCCAAAGTAAAGGATGTTTGAGTCAAACAAAGGCTTCTGAATGTCAGATGTACCGTATACAGTATAATCTCTTTGTAACAGATGAAGAAAACACATTCTATTGATCTTTATAGAGTAGATGATGTAAAAAAAATCAGCAATAAATCAAAACCTGATCATTCAGGAGTTTAAAAAGTGAACTTTTGGTGCAAAGCCACTGGTGACTGTGGATAGAATCTGTATTTAAGTGGAGACGAATCCCCCTATTACAATCTCCTGGGCGCTGAGCTGTAAACCGACGGCAGCTTCAGCCTCCTTTTATGGAGACAAACGGATCAGAGCTGCTGTGGAGAGTTTCTACCTGCAGCTGGGTGTCGTTTCCAACGCCGAGCTGCAGCTACACACTCACACGCAGTAACCGAATGAGCTGCAAATGCACAATAAATAGGATTGTTATTCATAAAACCGGTAAAACTACATATTTCCCCCACTGCAACCATCCCTTATTGGTTATTGGTCTGCAACGATCAAACCAAAATCTTAAAAAAAAAGTAAAATCATTCGATCCCAACCATCCCCTACTGTGTAAAACTGTTTGTAAAAGCAAAATAATTATATTCATGATAGAAAAACGGCACAAAGTACGACTGGAGCTCCTCAGAGGGAACTTGGTCGTACTTTTGCATATGTGTTTTTTTGCTTCAGATGCTGTTGAGAGCGCCGTGTGATGATGGCGGTGAGATAATCTCTGGTCAGTGTGTTACTGTGTGGAGGACGTCAGTGCTGGTGGCCTTCGGCGGGCGGCGCCTCCTGCAGGAAGGGCGTGAAGGACGAGCGCACGGTTCGACCCCGCAGAGGCTGCTGCACCCGGAAGTTGTTCACCATGCTCTTCTGGACTTCCTCCTCGGCCGACGTGAACAGGAGGCTCCGGAAAACCGCCAGCTGAAGGACAACAGAGCCGGAAAGAGACTTTAACCAGCCGATAGACGTCACTGTCTGAGTTGCGCATCTTGAACCTTAAATGTCGTCATGCTGGTTTAAATAATTGCACATCTGGACACACCTTAAGCGAATTAGGACTGGTTCAGTTTGGTTACCGTCATACTCTGGAACATGTCACTGAAGGAGTTTTATTGTGAAAGATGGAGGAGAACTGGTTGGTGGTTTATTGAACAGCTGTAACAATTAGATGACTTACACGTCTTAAATGGAGAGAAGCACAACCAGTTTCTGTTCTTTTGTTTAATCCTGTTGCATCTTTCCTCACTGTGGATTCATTTTTCTCTGCAATTTAAAGCCCTGTAGCTCTATGGAAACAGAACAACCATGACTAGAAGGAGACAGAACTCAGGAATGTCTTCTGTGCAGTACGACAAACCCACAATGCATAGATGAAAAAAAAACTGGATTCAACATTGTTCACAGGAGTTATCAACACTGGAACAGAGAATTGGTGACTTTAGACACTGTAGATATTTGACTTCTTACATGTTCGTTTATTTCCGTACTCGTCTCCTCTGTACAAACACTGCCTGCAGTTCAGTCAAAAAGTCTAAGAATTTCACTCATGTGACTGTTGGCTGCTGATGACTTATTAATGATTCATCAGTTGCGCCAAAAGCACAGAATGCTTAGTTTATAGAATCTGATTAGAGCAAAAGGGTTATTTTTGGCAATTTTTAACACAAAACATGTAAAATAAAGGGAATTTGATTAAATATTTCCAGTTTGAAGCTCAGATTTGGTTACGTTTCCCAACAAAACAGTCAGAAAAATTGAAAATCAATGCATTCTTTCTGTTTTTACAGTTTCTGGCTCTGATTAAATGTATAATTTTGGCATTTCTTTTTAAATACTAACGTGCCTTTGAAAGTAGCTGTCAGATTTGAGGGTTCAGAAGGTTAAAGCTGCACCAATTAGCTTCAGGACTTCTGCTGCTTGTATTGAAGGAGAGATTCCCTCCAACCTTTAAGCTTCGGTTTAAAGATCTTTTACATCAGTCGACATCTGAGAACATTCACTATTTTACAAGATGTTGTGCTAAAATGTCATGCTGTATGGCAAGAAGTTTAAAGAGGTACAGAAAGAAATGGGACACCACTGATATTCATGCTTTGTACAATTCCCTCTTTATTATACATAGATAACTATAACACATAACTAATTTATTCAGTTACTATTTTTTTGCATTTTTAATGTTTTTATATCTTTCCTATAATTTTTTTTAATCGTTTTTTTTAATGATTATTAATTTCTTTATCAGTTTTATTTAGTATATTTCTTGTGTCTACCTGCTGATTCACAATGAACTTATTTACATGTAACTGCTGAACAGGACGCAGTTTGATCACTAAATAGTACCATAATATCTGCACGCTCTGGTGTTCATGTTATGTTTATCTGACTGTATTTGTGATTCACTGAATTCTGTATGACTTCAAATAAAAAATGACAAACCTGCATCGACTATTTTTGGCCACATGGAGGCAGCAGAACACCGTCTGCTTTGACTCTCATCACATTTATAGCAAACAGTTGAAAAGTTACACTAATTTGAATTTATTTGATTTTGTGTTTCTAACTTTAGCTCTGCTTTGATCTTCACTAACTCCTGAGATAAATTCATGTCTCTAAAAGCTCGACTTTGTTCACTTTACTGATCTTTGTCTTTGTTAAACTCTCTTTGCATTTCATTTGTTTGTGCCTTACATGACTTGCTCTAAATCCAAACGAAGGACGACTTGTTCCACATTCTGCTCCAGACATCTGATTTTGTCCATCTGCTCTCTGCTGAATGTTTTCTACGCTGCAGCAGTAACATTCAGGACATTTTTCCAAAAGTGAAGCCAAAAGACATCGATTGTTCCCTGGTGGCTGAATGTTAACCACAGGGGAGTTTTCTAAGAGCCGAGCATTATAAACATCAAAGGAAAAGTCAAGACCTTCCATTTTAGTCAGGCCTTTGACTGATTTAATAGAGTTTATTTGTTATTACACTTCTTAGAACTAATTCCATTTATTGATTTCTTTATTCATCACTTATTTTGATCTATTTAATTTATAGTTTATTACTTAATTTTTACCATTTCTTATTCTGTTTTTATAATTTTTTACTTCTATAATAATAATAATAGATTTTTTAGAAAAGGGGAACCTTTTTTTTTTCATTTTATCTCATCTGGTGTTTCCTCATTGCACACGTTATACAGGACATGGTTTCCTCAGTTCATCAATCCTTCTGTTTTCGAGTCCTTTATTTATAACATGACTTTGGTGGTGGGGGGTTGTTTTTACTGTTCTGTGTTGCATTTTATTTGTCTAAAAAGTGCTATAGAAATAAGTCTGACGTGCTAATTTAGCCACAATTGGAGGTTACAAAAACAAAACAAGGAGCTAAAAGAAGCTTTGAAAACACTCCAGAGGTGCAGATGTGGACGATATTTTTACAGGCAAAACTTGTGATCTACTTTTAATGTGCTGCACACAGTGTAACGCACCTGGTCGTGGCTGACTTCGATGTGCTGCTTCATGACGATCCAGGTGACGGACTCGGTCAGAGGAGGCGTGGTCAGAGAGCCGTGGTACGTCCAGTAGTCGTCGGTGTTGGCGGGCAGCAGGCAGCCGGGGTCGAACCGGGTGAACTCCACGATGCTGTCCTGCAGACGGACAACACAGAGTGAGACACATATATTCAATGAAGCTGCATGAAGTTAGAATGACGTTCAGAGCAGAAGTCTGAACAACTCAGTGCTGGAAAGTCTCACAATTTTACTTTATACCACAGACTGATGTGAGAGAAACACAGCGCCGTGCTTTCATCCTAATACTACAACCATCACAAGCTAATTATTATCTAGTGTATAATTTGCCAGATAAGTATTACACAAGTGCTATTCAGCGAGCGTCCTGTATTATCTTATTTGATCAACAGCAGCCTTATCGGACGTTATTAGTGATAAGGCGTGAAGTAGCAGCGATTTAACATCAATCAGTCACCTTCAGATGATACAACCAGAGCAGGAGAGGGAAATACTGTTGTATAACTTCTGTCTGTAACTACAGTAAGATTCACAGTTTAATCAATGAGGGTTCACGATCAAACGCCCTGCAGTGACGTATATAAACTGTGTCTAAGTAATAAAGTGGCCGCTGGGTGTGATTTTACTATCTCCAGTTCTTTAGATGCAGTGAAAACACGGCTATTTGTTTTGTTTATTTTGCAGAAATAGAGCATAATTAAAAGTAGTTGAAGCAGACTAGCAGCTAACTTGCACCTGTTGAGGTAACCACAGAGCAATAAACACAAAACGTAAAAGTCCATCAGTGTGAGATAATAAATAAAATCCAATCTGCTGACTTCAGCCAAACACTGAGGCTGGTTTTAAACTCTGCAAAGCTTCCTGAATCTTTATTGTTTGTTTGGATGGAGCTCAACTTAAAAGCTGTTCTACTGAACTGAGGTACCCGATCACGTCTAGTAGATATTATATTGGGTTAAAATGGCTTCAGTTCCAGACTTATTTCTTCTGACTGCTTGGTGAATAACACACTCAGATGTTTTGTTGCCTGTAAGTGAGTCTTTAACAGCTAGAGGGCGCCACCTTCTGTAGAAGCAGCTTTCATCAGCAGGTTTAGAGTTTGTGATGCTTTTAGCAAACGGAAAAACATGCAGTCACAAGACTGGAGGATAAATATCAGAGAGGAACAGTCATCATCTGGGTGAATCAGTATCTTGTTTTAAATCACTTCTTAAAACCTTTTTTTTTTTTTTTTTTTTTTTAAATAGGCTTCCGGAAATGTCTATTTCTATTTTTAATATGATTATTTTTATTGTCTATTTTTATTTATAATTGATTTTTTATTTTCTTTATTTTATTGTTCATTTTATTCTTTTTTTTACCCGTTATTTATGTACAGATTTATTTACTATTATTATCATTATTATTATTTTTAGCCTTGTGTTTATAGTTTTAGCTCCCATTTTCTTTTATTCAACTTGTTCTTTCTCTTACCTGACATGGCATTTAATGATTCTATCTGGTGTGGTTATGCTACTTTATTTTTAAAATCTTTTACTATGTTTGGACTGAGCGGCCTACTGTTGTTCAATGTCCTTCTTATGAGTATCTTTCTTTTCTTTTCTTTTTTCTTTTAAAGGTGCTATATAAATAAATGTATTATTACTATTATTATAATTATCATTATCACTATAATTATTATTATCATTATTATTATCATTTTTATTTTTATTATTATTGTTCTTTTAAACGGTATGGATGTGTGTGACTGACCTTATGTCTGATTGCAGGCAGAGCGTCCACCAGCTTCTGCAGCCCCTCGTGTCTTTTTCCCACCTACACAGAGATCAGACATTAATCCAGATTATAATCACACTCTGCCGTGTGAACACCACCATCTCAACCAAAGCTCAATGTGCATTGATCACTGCTTTTTTCTCTAAACATTGCAGAGAGTTAAAACTGTGTTGCACCTTCAGGAAAACTCCAATGACAGCGAGTCCGTTGTCTTCCATCACTGCCTCCTCAAACAGACTGTACTTGTCGGAGTTCCAGTGAACCAAATGCAGCTGAAAACACAAACACAGTAAACATCATGAGTATATGTTTTAATCCACTTCACGGTTTCCTCTAAATACATTCTTTCTAATTCGCCTTCTTTGGTCTGATCAAAGCAAGAGCTCCTTCTTTTGCATGTTTCAAATAGAAAGAGATGCGTTTTGCTAATTGTATTAGACACACAACAGAGTTATTAGTCGCGGCTGTAACTTGATGCTCTGCAGACACACAACGAGCACTGAGTGATGAGAACCACGACATGTTCAAATTCCCGACAACAAGAGGACACACAGTCACTGGAACTTGTTGTTACGTAAGACACGGTAATGGAACAACATGAAAATAGATGTCCGGGAGTCAAACGTGACGGCGAGCGACTGTACCGGCCGGCTGGGAGACGAACACGCCCCTCATGTTTGAGTTTAGCTTTGGGGATATAAAAAGAGTTGAATAAACAAAGTTAGACCCAAGACTCTGGCAGCACGCCCTCATCGGTTATGCTCGTCAATACTTAAGAGGGGAACATGATTAGAAGACAAATGAATGAAAACTGAGTCAACATTTGTGCTGTGAACCTCTGCAGTGTTGGTTTCCATTCCTCCTCTCCTCTTTTAACCCTTAAAAGCCCTTTTTTCAGGCACAGTTTTGGACCAGATTTCACTTTTTTTCATTACAATTCTTAATAATTGTAATCAAACATCATCATTAAACTTAAGAAGACACATAAATTACTTCATTTATGTACCTCAATTAAAATGTAGATCAATAAATAAACATCAATCTTTGAGTTCATTATGTTTGTTTTAAAATGAACCTACTTAAAAACTAACAATGAAAAACCAACTTCAGGCTGATATGTAAAATAAAAAGGTTTTATTGTACACACAAAGCATTTGGTTGCAGCGAAAGTTTGCAAGAAACTTCTATTAACTGCAAAACAACAGCAGCATCTATAAACTTTTACTCTTTGCAGTTTAAATATGGCCAATTGTATCTGAAACCCGCTTTTGTGTGTTAGATTTGTTCATTTTGTTGAGCAACACCAGCTGGCAGAGGTTAAAGGAAACATTTCAAGTGCAGAGGACCAACTGTGAAGTCAAGTCCTACACATCTGAGTCGTTCCATTCAGTGACTTGCGATAACACACACACACACACATACCTGCCTCACACGTGACTGCGGTGCCTCTGTACTTAGCATGCTACATTAATCCAGCAGCAGGGAGGTCAGCACTTTCTTTTTTTTGTTAGAGCAACAACAGAGTGTGTGCACAGGAGAACGCTGCCGTTACAGGTACGGTGTGCTGCAGAGGCGACGGTTTTACTTTTGGAGTCTTTGAAGCTTCAAACTGTGCAAAGACAGACTTATTCAGAGGCCTAATGTCGGTTTGACGCAACTCTTCTAACCAAAAACCACAAGTGGTTTTAAGATTTAATAGGTGACTTTGACTATCTGGGATTTAAGGTACAGATATGAACATTATTGTGACTAATTACACTGTGACTAGTCTGAATGGACGTCACTCCGCGACCCGTCAAAAAAACAGTTACAGTCAATAATTCAGCTGCTGGGACCTGTTAAACAATAACGGGTCCAAACTGAGGTTTTCAAACATCTATTTCAAAAGACTAGTCTGAACTGTTGGCCATGACGCTGCCCTCTCATTGGATATCGGTGCAGCCAAACATGTGTCCAGTGTTAGCAGAAGTAATAACAGCTGCTGTGGTGGATAAAAATCACAAAAAAAACTGTGCAGCATAAAGAGCTCATCAATGAGGAGTTTGTTGAGATTCAGAGCTTTGTTTCTATAGAGACTTGTGGTCTGAATTTACCCAAATGTTGGCCTCTGACTGCTTTGACATGACGAAGCAGAGCCGTACTATATTGAAAAAGCAAGACGCCTCTGCCTCCCACTTGCCGTAGTTTCTGAGTCAAGTCCAGATATTTGTAACGTCATGTCACAGAGTCTAAACTCTGGTTCAGGATGTAATACAGTTTGAAATACATACGAGAAATAAATTAATGTCAAAAAAGGAAAATGTAATTATCTTTAATTCAGGGGAATTGAAGATGTCTTGAATTATACTGATTATACTGATATCTAAAGTCAGAATTAGTTACAATCCAGCTGCAGATATCAGCAACCTCATTCACCTTGTCAAGATATCTTTAGTTGCATTACATTATTCACATACAACATCATTTTGACCACTTAAAACGCACTTAGAGATATTTATAAAGTGTGATGAATTGAGGGAAATTAAAGATATCTTGCATTATAATTACAACTAGTCAACATTGAACTGTAGATATGTCAAACTTTAATTACAACTAGTCACCATTCAGCCGCAGATATATGAAGTTCACATCTGCAGCTAAATTCTAGACATCTGTAACAGGAAGCTGCATGTACATGAATGTGATAGCGGCTTCATTGGTCCTGGAAGAATGATGATGTGTTGAAATGACACTTGTGGAGTGGAACAAGGTCACTGTGGGGATCTGAAATGTTCTTGAAGTGTTGAAATCTGCAATACGTATCCAGTCCAGCTATTAAAAGTTAAACAAGCCTGCTTTGACCGCATGAATACAAATGAAACAATGATTAACAACAACTTTCTTTACCACCAAGCAAGAACAATTCCAAAGAGAGAAAGCAGTGCAATAAATCCACGCTGATTTCCACGTCAACATGAAACTGACCTAAATATCACTGAAGCGCTCTCATACAGCGACACAGAGTTACTCATCAGCCCGATGACGCAAGACACAATAAAGAGCTTTTGATTTGTCACTTTTTAATGCGTAAATTAAAGCCGCACAGATAATAAAGTAATAATAAAACAGCAACTGCGGGAAGCTGGACTGTCTTCATGTGTTCATATTTAATGTTTCTGAAAGCGAATGGTTGTAAACATTGTTTCCTGTATGTGATCGCCTCCGCCGCCTTACTGGGTTTATTTTTTTATGATATTTTTGCGGTACCTCTGCAGGGAACAGCCTCCTGTCCACGGTGTGCTCCGACCCCCAGGCGTTGCTCTCCCCCCAGTGGAAGTGGAACTGGCACAGCCTGAATTTGTCTTGCAGGGGGCCCCCTTTCAGCGCTGCACGGCAAAGTCAGAGGACACGTAGGTCAGCGCATCGTACTTTGACTCCCACACATTTTACTGTCCTGCTGAACTACCTCTTTGTGTTTCGGTTGCTCAGGCAGCAACTCTGACCTAAAAACGACCAGGAAACATCTCAGTGGGATGCTACAATCTCCTGTAAAGTATTTCATTGCCCCATAAACTGCTTATCAGTGGCAGTAATACGACCAGATCACTGATTCCTACCTGTATACTGCAGCGATCGATTGAAAGGCTGACTGTTCTCCTGCCAACACCACGTCACTGCGTCTTTGTTTATATTACTGGTAAAACCCTAATCTTCACTTCTAACTCTCATAAACCTGTCTTTGTTCTCTCTAAGCTCCTGACACAAAGACTGGGAGCACGACACACCTGCTAACTGGTTATTTTAGCGGCTTTGAGTGTTTATAATAAGGTTTATATTTAGGTTCTCGATGGTCTGGGAGGTTATAACGTTTTGGTGCAGCCCAGTAATTATGCCAGAGTGACCAACACTTAAAAGGCAGATTACGTTGTAGTTGTAGAGGTCGGTCACATGACAGTCATCATTTCCATTTCCACGTGCCACTCTGAGTGTAGGATTGATTACTGCACTTTCCCACATACCCAGGGCTCCTGAATGGGGGTTGGAGGAGAAGATAATCCTCTTGTGTGGATCAAAACTTTCATTCCTTCAACCATAATCTTGCTTTCTAGATTTCTAAAGGGCAGGTATGTGCACATTTAAATACCTTTGGGGATTTTCTTTTTTTTTTAAACAAAACTCACTAAAACATGTACTCACTGGACTTGTCTGTAGTGTCGTCATACTCGACCAGAAAGGAATAACCGTTGTTCCAGATTTGCTGACACGTCTGCGGGTCGTACTCGGTTTCTAGTGGCTTCAGCTTCGAATCGAAGACGCTCTTTCGTACGACGATGTCTATGGGAGACTGTCGATCGCCTCCTGGTACCGCGAGGGGTCCCTGCCACATGGGATGCACTGGAGGTGAGGAGGAGGAGGAGAAGAAGAAGAAGCGGAAGGAAATCAAAGAGAAAAATCAGATTACAGATTTTACACAGACATAGCTAAATCGCAGCTCCTGTTCAAACCGTAAAGAGACAACGGAAAAAACGGATAAAAAAATGCTGACACCTACTTTTCATGTTGTACTCGGCCGCTTCCTGCATTTTTACACAATCCATTTTAAAACTACTAAACCAAAATCAACCACAAACTACACAGAGGCAGCGCTAGAAATCCTTCCTCCTCGAGCTGCAAGAAGGAAATGAATGAGAAAAGGAGCAAGTGAGCAGTAGTGCTTCCTTCTAGTCCTCTTGCTTCTCTTTTTTTTTTTTTTTTTCCTTAAAGGATATTACTAAATAAGAGAGAAGTGGGCTGGCTGTACTGAAAGTGACACGCGGAATGTCCTGGCACGCCCCCAGCTCCCCTCCACAGCAGGAGAACCAGACCAGGACCTCTGGCCGGTCAAACCGCCGGCTCGGGCCAACGTCTGTCAACGGACCCGACTACTAATTAAACTCTGCTCACTTTCTCTGCCTCCCTCTTTCCGCCTTCTTGGGCGCCTTTTGAAATTGCCCCCAAAAAATAAAATAAAAACTCCCCTCATAAAACTCTTTTAAAACATTACTTCCCTGTCTGATGTGGATTAAGATCTGCAGAGAGAGAGAAAAAAGGTGCAGCTGTCAAAGGGCACAAAGGCAGCTCAGTCTATTGTTTTCCTCTTCATTCATCCAAGGTTTCCGCTGAGAGCCAAGCCGAACAGGTCTGACTGGGAGATGACCTTCGTCTTCATCGGATTTCAGCAGCTCCTCCTGGGGGAGTTGGCCGCCCGACTCTGTTATTGCACGGACGCACAATAAGTGCTTGCGAAGCCATTCGTGCTCATTCATTTTGTAATTGTCAGCTGTGAGGTTGATTCTGTTTCACTCAGTCAAGACTATCAGATGTCACAAATCAGTACGAGGGACCAGTGTGCCAAGAGCAAACTTGATCCAGGGCTTCATTCCTGCAATATACATCTGACCTGCAGAGATGCCTTTGAGCAAGATGCTGACTTTACTGAATCCCTGCGAACACAGGATCAGGGCTTTTCCTGTGTACAGGAATTTCTGGCAGCTCTCAAAGAGGTTGAAGCAGAATCACCAGGGCAACAGTGATCACAACAGAAAAAACTTTTTTAGCCACTTGTGTTAATTGGGGTTTCATTTATTCAAGCACAACAGACATTTTTGTTTGTTAAATTGTCAGAAGTAATAGAAAATTGCATATATTTCTGCCAAATAAGGTAACACAAATGCTTTTTCTTCACTGATTATCGGAATGTCTGATTATTATTATTATTATATTATCATATTGTGCCGTTTTGTGATTGTCTGTATTGTTATTTTATTAAAAGATTTCAGATACAATAAATTAAATGAGCTACTTTGGCTCTGGTGTTTAACTTTAACGGTCCACTCTAACTGACAGACGTATCTCTCGAGTGTAAACACAACCTGCATGAAATGAAGAAGCACAGTCAAAAATGAGGAAATTCACTACTTTCACAGCGGCTAAGGCTACGCTAACGGCTAGCGGCTAAGTTAGGAGGCAGCCACATATCAACAGTGTCTGGAAAACAATAAAACATAATGCTTTAAGTTATGGGCCTTAGTGGGTAATTAACGTATAAAATATTGAAAAATTAACAAAACAAAGACAGAAATGCAGGAGACAAACTGCTCAATTACGATCAATCGACCTCACAGTAAACAGAGGAGAGTGTCGTAGCATCATGACACACTGACATCATCACCTCTATCTCTGTTGTACATATTATACCACACAGTATATAGTAATCCTCATGAGTGAAGTAATCTAGTTATAAATGAAAGGTTTCCTGCCATCACATGCTGATAATATATAGACTTTAATGTATATTAGTTTCAAATATCAGTTTTCAGTCTTTCCTGTTTACCAATAATCAGTATTTAGAAAAAAAAAAACATTGATTGATCGTCAGGAAAAACTGCAGGATGACAGCAAAACCTCAAAACTCTCACACAGGTATGAATTTTACTTTTAACAATAAATCCCATGTGCCATTTTTGATGGAGGTGGAGATGAGCACAGTACACTATGTCTATAGCTTGTTGTGTAGAACAATTTTAGACAAAGTCCATAAAGCTAACAAAGTTCTGCTAAGTCAGTGACACACTTACTGCATATTGTGTAGCCACAACACAATAAAAGCCAAAGAGAAAAGCAAATAAAATATAAAATAGGGACGCTGGAACTTTGATTCTGAATTGGATGTGAAGCAACAACCGGAGCTGAGCACTTCAAAGACTTTCAATAACAGCCTTGAATCGCCAGCGTAACAACATGTTGTGAGCCAATTAGTTTCGTGCCGCACACAGGAAGAGGGTCACAGCTTCACTCCAGTCCAACCTGCTACCAAACAGAGACACAACTGTGTGCTGAGAGGCGGTTCTGGTAATTAGCATACCTTCACGGACATGAGAAGACATAAAGCCTAACAGAAACTCATGTGATTAACTGCTGTTGCCAAATCTGGGGAATTAAAACACATAAATACAGAAAAACTATACATTATTTTAAACCCTTTATTGCACCGAATTGCGTTGTCATGTAGCTCCCTGATGCAAATGTCTGGTTAATAGGTTTTAAATTGTTACTCTGGCATAGAAACAGTTTCAACAAAAACAGTAAGTCAGAAAATAGTGAAGTATCTTTAAAGATCTCAAAGCCTCCACAGAGACAACCAAAACTGACAGCCTGACCAGGTAATAATAACAGAAGCTGTAAAGGCGTTTTGGTCCCTGAACTCAGTGGTCAGGCAGCACCTCATCACAGGCTGCATTACATCCGTGACAAAATCTACCAAAATATTTTAAGGTTAAAGATTTGGGTCACAGGAGGTCAATATCTGGGACTGAAGTCAAGATTTAGATTTGGAAACCCACTGAAGGAGGTGGAATTTGTTCGCTGTTTGAGGTTTTGCCTGTGAGGCTAAACTCAGGGCACAGAGTGCATCTAAACCTGATCTGTTTAAATGACAGTAGAGCACCTCCTTGCTGCAAGGAAGCCATCATTTTCTGTGAGTCAGATGTTATCACCTGAGGAGTGAAGGAACAAGAAATGACTCTTTATGAAGAAAAATAGCAAAATAAGAGGCCAATGGACAGATTTCTCGTCAGCCACTTTAAAATTAAACCAACAGGCCTTTCATTATTGTTTGGCCAGACAGTGCCCAGAACAACAAGCTAGTTAAAGTTAAATATAAACTTAGTTTATTATCATGGTTGAACATAAAAGCTTTGCTGTACTGGACAGTTTTTCTGAATGTTTTTTGCATTTTGACTCTGAGGTTGCTGTTGGCCTGAGATGGCGAGCGACACAATCTGATGTGACTGGGTGTGGTGAGGACGTCGTTTGGACTCGTCAGACCTGCTTTGGTGTATTGAATGCTCCGTGGCAATGGTAATTTAAAGGAAATGACTCATATCAGTGGCTTGACATGTAAAGGCCACAAATAGATCAGGGCTGCACGATATTGGAAAAAACTGACATTAATATTTTCTTTTTCTGCCATATATACTGCAATATAAAAAAAAATACAGGAATTTTATTTAGACGACTGGAAAAAACTCAATTTGGCTATACTGACTCATCCTAGAATGACTGGGGTGAATTAGTAGGGGAGAGCATCTGCATCTGCATCCAAAACAAAAATTAATCAAAAAAAAAATAAAAAATCACTATTTACTGTGAAGAAAAATTTAGGAACAAACCATTAGGAGCTCTTCTCCTGTAGTGTAACACTGGTAAAGGACTCTGAAATAGTTTTTTGCTTTAAAATAGCATTCAAATCTCATCCTTCAGATGTGCCGACCCTCCACCAGGTGTCCCTGTGTTTTCTAGCAGAGGCCAGATGAGGGTTGGATTGATCCATTCAGCCACATAAGGCCTCCCTCACTCTCTGACAGGAGCTGTCCTTCTACTGGGACACCAGCAGCATGGATTTGGGGGTTTTATTTGGTTGTTTGTTGCACCTTTTGATTGTTTTTTGTTAAAATAAACATCTTTTTTAGTCACTTCACAGTTGTTGTCTCCCTCTTTTGTTACAGTTTTTGAGCCAAGCCGTAACACACAGCTTTATGATACTGATTTAAATAGTCAAACTAAACAGTTGTGTTGCCTGCCTCATGTAGTGGCAACAATAGCAAGACACTGCTGACAAAGTTCCCATTTTTGATCAACATCATCCTTCCAATAGCTGAAATATTACTACACAGCTGACTAGGTCTGCACAACTATGGCCACAATGGTAATCAGGATTACTTTGATCAGTGTTGAGATCACGATTATTCATTAATTATAAGCACTTTTTTTTATTGCACTGTAATTTTTAAATAAACAGCACTGCTTTCACTTCCATTCTGTGCGACATTCCTGCTGATGTAAAACACAATGCACAAAAATTTGACTAAAAGTAATCATGTTAAATAAATATAAAATAAAATTTTCCCCAAAACACCTCACTTGCTGAACATCTGCCTATCTGATGGCGGCGTGCATGGACGCAGCGCCCCCTTCAGGAGACAGCGAGAGTGAACGTTTAGTGTCTTATCCCAGACGTGCATTTCGCAAAACTTACAAATTAAATGATCCTGAAGAAACGCTCTCTCATCTCGCCTGTACTACTGTGTATGTACAGCAAAATGACAATAAACTGGATTTGACTCTGATTTGATCAATATATTCTACAATTTATCGATGTTCCCCAAACGCCTCCCATGCAGCCAACGGAAGATGCTAGCTCGGCGACTGTGCACTGAGAAGCCTCTAGTCTCCATCAGCTCACAAAGGTGTGTGACCAAAAAATACTTTGAAAAGAGAGAAATAATACGTTCTAATGTCAGATTTACCCAAGTTGACACCAAGTGATCTTATCAACATGGCCTGTTTTCTTTGAGCAATCAAGTGTTATTACATTATTAGAAGCCAAAAACACAATTTTGATCTATATTCCATTGATTGCGCAGCCCTACATAGTCATGTTGTGTTTCTTTTCTGCAACCAAATCTTCCTTCTCGGTGTTTCTCACCTGTTCTCTGCACACATTAAGACTGCATGTCAACAAACTCTGAGTCTTGTGAATAAAACTAAAAAAAACTGTGCATTGAAGGACCTTTAAGTATTGTTTCATCAGACAGACTTCCCTTGTAGATTTGTCATGGAAAATGAGCGAGAGAGCTGTGTTTTCTTTTGGTATCAAGCAGCAACAAAGGAATGACGTACTTGACATATTGTGCAGCTCTAAAATCAATGCTCATCTGATGGCATGCAGCCTGTTTCTCTAGTTCACAGGTTACCGCATGTTGCAACTTGTTTATCCAACATCTATCACATGATGTGTTCAGGAGCTGTAACTGGACTCATGTGCCTGAGATAAGATAGAGGCCATAAGGAGGTGTAAAAGTGCATTTCCTGAGTGCATATTGAATCTAACAACATCCCTGACACCATGTATGTGTCACCAGCAGGCTGGCAGCTATGTAGGTGAAAGGGCTTCATATGGCCTCTATATGGGCCAGTGATCAGGGGATGTCAGCGCCTATGTGGAAAACCTGGAGCCTGGACACAGCTGAATCAACAGAGACGTGGCTGGAGCAAATCCAGCCGTGACCAGAGTCCAGTCCGAGCTTTTCCACCGCTCAGCACGCACGTTTCTCGGATGACAACAAAAGTGACTGATGCTGTGTTTGAGCCACAATGAAGGGCTTTAAACGCTGCAAACACGGTGACAGCCAAACCGCTGCTATGCTAATGCCCACACTGACACTGAGAGAGTTAAATGAAGATGTCCTCCTGTGAAGCTGTGTGGTAATGAACCACAGGAGGAGGCTAACGTTACACCAACAACACCTGAACCCCTGATGGAGGTACTCACTCTGAGACAGCACATATTTGCTGGAACACGCCGTGAGGTTGCATCTCCGGACGGGTGTTATCCGGTGACTCCTGCCGTGTCTGACGAGCTGTCGGTGGAGGTGGGAGATCAGAGGTCTCACTGCCGCCGAGAAAGTCACCATTTTTATTTATGTTTTGACTGAGCTAAGCTACAAAACGCGCGCTGTCGACTTGATTTTCTCGTATCCGGTGCTAGCAGTTAGCCTTTAACAAACTAAACTCCGCAGAAAGTTAGCTAGCGCGTTCAAAACACTGCACCGTCCGCCGTCTCTGCCCTCCTGCCGTTGGCCTGGAGGCGGGGAAGAGGGCGGGTTTTCACTCGGCACACATTCGAGAGCAAACAGACGTTTTTTTTTCCTTTTTTCCGAGCCAACAGACGTCAGTTCGACCCGGTTAAATCGCGCTGTTTTGACGGCGGAGGCTCCCGGTGGCTGATAAGAACCGGTAACCGTTGCTCAACTGTTTGCGCGAGAGCAGAAGAAAAAGAACAAGAGGGGGGAGGAGGTGAGTAGGGGGCTGCAGCGCGGACCAATCAGAGGCCCCCGCTGAGGGGCGTTAGTGATGACGACACCAGGAAGCACATTGTCTCAATTAAAATAAAAATAATAAAATAAAAATAAATCATTTAATTGAGACCATGGGAAGACATTACAAATAAAAGTAATAAAAAGGGGAAAAAGATCATTAATACACATCACAATCAAACTTCGACAGTTGTTTATTTCTAAGCTTTTTTATATTTAAAGTTCTTTTGAATGTTTATATGGAAATGAGGT